TGGAACATTTACAGATCTGTGAGACAGAGAATCAACCAGGTCCTCAGTTTATCACCTCACTGGTACTTACAACCCCAAGTCTCACTGAGGAGCCCTATAAGTAACAGGGAGACGAAGACAGAGAAGTTCCAACAGCCCTGAACTGAGGGCAGAGGCCCAGCAGGCAGGTGGAAGTGAGAGTTGGCCTCAGCTGTGTTTTGGGCAGGTGCAGGTCTGCTTCTGTCTTCACAGAACCACAGGATGGATGCCTTGCTGTGAATCTGGTAAGGGCACCTATCCCCCAAGCCAAGCATCTCCCAGTGGACTCTCTGCTTAAAATACACAGGAGGGGGCTGCATTTGCACTTCTGTGCTGGCCTCCAGCAGGGTGAAGCCTGCAGGCAGGAAGTCCTGATCTTCCTGCCTCTCTCAGGCTTACAGGTGGACTGAACCATCGGGAGGAGCTTCCTCTTAGAGCACCAGCACTAGCTGTGCAACTCAGTGTGAGTCACTCATCCTCCTCCCAGGGCTCCACGTCTACAAAATGATGGGGCTACAAAATGAAGTGTCACCAAAGGCCCCCAGCTCACCCACTACTCAGCTGAAATAGGATACTATCTACTTAGCATATTTCAAACTGTATCCCTAAAATACTACAATTCTGCGGATTGCATGAAACTCCTAGTGTTTACAGTGTGGTATTCCCCTCCTCCCCCATATTTTATTTCTCAAGTTTTTAATAAAAATCTTAAACCTATACTCTCCTCTCAGCCTTAAAGTACTCAATTTTCTTTAGCGTTATCAAAAGATTATCTACTGTAGAATAGCCCCTAGCTGCCCAAATATATATCAACAGAATGGATAAACTGAGTATATTCATTCATAAAGATAAAAAAACAAACAAGTGAAGAAAAAAATACTACCCCTTTCATCAATTTGGACTTACCAGGTGGCATTATGTTGTATCAAAGAAGAAGCTTTGTATTTGACTGCGTTTAACTGCAGTCCAAAAACCCATTAAAATTGAGCTGTGACAATAGAAATCAGGGGAGTGGTTACCCTTAGGGCAGGAGTTATGACTGTAAGTAAAGATAAGTTTTGGGGGCTGGTAAACTTCTGTTTCTGGATTACAATGCTGCCTATCTGTCTGTGATTGTTTCATGTTGCATACTACTGATCTATGCATTTTTCTGGTTGTGTATTAATTCAATAATAAGTTCAAAGAAATAAAGTAACAAGGACCAGAAAGGTGGGGGTGGGGGGCTACAGAAACTGTATAGCTCAAGTGCTTCAACCTGTAAGGAGAAAGTTAATTAATTTCATTTAATGTGACCAGAGAGAACCACCTGAAAATCTCAGTGAGAAACCTCGTTTCCTAAGATCTGCTGCTGAAATTTGTTCTATTTTTATAACTTCCTCTCTCACATGAAACTATGGTTCTAAATGAATATAAAATACTGCTTTAAATAAAGTATTAAATATTGTCGGAAAACATCTGAGAATATTTCAGGATGATTCCGTCAGAATACAAAGTTTCTAGAAACATCTGTCAGTGTTAACCCAATTACCAGCACATTAATGCAATGACCTGGGTAATGGCCAAATTTCTGCTTACTTCCCCTGCTGCACAGATTGAATTCTGCTGGGAAAGGCCGTGCAGGTGGAGGGACGCATTCAAGAAAACTCTGTGCTACAGACAACTCTGAGGAAGCTCCAGGAAAACAGTGCCTTCTCCTTGGGACTGCATGTGGCTCATCTGTGAATTTGTTTCAGCACATTTTTGTCTGCCTGAAGTAGTACAGCTAGTTGGCAGATCAGTGATTTCCTTCCCCTTCAGTGCCCTGCATCCCTCTTTGATCAATATGATCAACTGCATGATTGGTACATTTTATTCTCATAAAAAGTATTCTCTATTACATCACATAAGGTATTTAGCACAGACTACTTGTTTTTACCCAAAACTTTATAAATCTGTAACTCTAGTCATTACTACTGCAGGATCCCTTTTGGTCCTACATCACAGCTGATGGGCTCCCCAAATGCAAGGACAGGGACTAAATACTGTATTTGTAGAATCATTAGCACCTAGACAAAATATATTTCTAATTTTTGAAGTGGGAAGTAGTTTTTAGAGGGGGTGGGGAACAGTAATAAGTATTCAGCCCCTGCGTATTATGTGACGTTGAACCAGTGATTCAAGTGTAAGACAGACAAAGTTTCCAGGATAAATACCAATTAGTAGCCGATTCCCACCCTGTCTACAGACATTATGGGTACCTCGACTCTAACCATTTAGTCCCTTTCCTCAACTAAAAAAGATCCTATTCTTTAATTTCCACCTCCTAATTGAAAGTTCTCCCACCTCAGCCTTGATTGACATTCTTAGCCTTCCAACCTTAAATTTTTCTTGTAATTCAGGGCCCAGGATTCCACTTCCAGCTTCCTCTCAAATTATCCCTTTAACTAGTCTCTACTTACTTTTATAGGCCCCCAAAACTTCTCCAGGATAATGTGCAATTCAAAAAGCCTTTTCAACTACTCTCCACATCAAAGTTTAATCACAGAAGCCAACAATACCATTTTTCCTACATGAGTTTAGGGAAGGTACATTCTAACTGAAATTTCACTGTTTATAAAATTCCTTCATTGAATCTTTCCTGTTCTCTGTTTTATACACAATCACAATGAAGCAAACTCACAAAATGTGTCATTATACAATCATACAAAGACATTCTAAATAATAATTGTAAGACACAAGATACCTTTTGTAATTCTGGTGCTAGGAGTACAGGTTAAAATTTTTTTTAAGTTGTGTCTGTTGTTTATTGCTGGAGTGGGAAGGAGGTAAACACAGCAGACAGTTGAGAATCACAATGAACTATATATTACAGCAGGGTTCTACTGAAGATTATAAATGTACCTAAAACATTTTTTCCCCTGTAAAAGAAGAAATTTCGAATTGGGTAAATGAAAGCAAAGCCACTAACTTTGCCCATAACAATACACAATTCCTGTTTTCCCACTTAAGAAAGAAACAGTCCCAAACCTCATCACTTATGAGGTCTGGACTAATGAATACTAAGAAAAACATCCTCTCTACATAGATGCAGAAAACTTTTTTATTCTTAAGAAAGCTCATGAAATTTGGTTCGCAATTTAGAAAACTACCTAAGGGTAATTTGTGAATGCCATCTGGGACCCAGGCAGCGTCAGCAACCAAAGGGAAAATTTACTGAGATCATGCAAACCTAAAATTCACATACATTTTTACATCTGGACTGAATTAATCTTTTCTTGGTACTGGCTTTTATGTAATAAAATAATTGCTTGCAGGTTTATTTTTTTAAAGCCAGTTTAGAAATAAATATGTGCAACATCCAAGTTGAAAACTACAAAGAATCCCATGTTTAAAGTTACTTGTGAGACAGAACTCATTTACACTAAACTCTAAATCTGCCAGCTCAGTCAAAAACAATTCTGCTTAAAACTTTCATTCCAAGCATCTGCCACAAAAGTCTGCCACACAACCTATTATGTCACAAGTTAAGAAAGCCAAAAAATCTTTGTAAGCATAGTTAAGCATAGGGGGAAAAATCCACAAACTAGAAAAACTTTACAATTTAACAAGCTCAGTTGAGTGACAGGTTTTAAAGAACTTCTAGCCCCAAACTGTTACTTAGCACATTGGCATTTTGTTTTCAAAAGTAGTGTCTTCATCTTGGTCTGTGTTGTTTTCAAGACATCTTCCTATAAAGCCCAGGGCATTTCAATCCTGCAAGTTCAAATTGAGTACTTGAAGCTCTTATCTCACCACCAAAGGAGGGGTTGGAAAGATTTCCTGTCCCTTAAAATGAGCAAAGCAAGAATTGCTGATCACTACAGTGCCTCAGTGTTAAATCCCAGGGATTCTTAGCAATTCAGAGGGGAAATTAGTTCATATTACAGGCAGGCTGCTTTCTGGAGGAGATACGCTGCAGATAAGGTAATATGAGATATCCCCTGGGGGATCTTCTTCATCTAATAACCTTACCAAAGGTCCACTTTAATATGAAACATGAATCCAGTATGTTTACAAATAGACTGAAAAAGCAGCTTTCAAATGTCAGTTGTCTGACAATTCTGGAGTCTTTTCATTTTTAACATAAAACTTTTATTTCCCAAAACCATGCCAAAGGAAAATGATAAAGAGCCAGAAGTTTTATACTACAGAAGACAACAGCGAAGGCATCTTATTTCCTGCCTTTTTCTGGTCTTCTCCCCTCCCCCACTCTCCATCCTGCAGGCCATTTGTAGGTCTTGGTTGTTAAAACTACTTTCTAGGGTATTCTCATAATTCTCTAGAATTTGAAAACCTTCTTATTGTTCAACATAGCTGAGCTTAAATGTATGTTCTGCTCTTAAGAAGGAAACCCAAAGTCACAAGCCTATTTAATGACAGATGTGTTACGGAAAACTTTCCCCACAAAGTTTTGATGCTGTGAAATATCAACTCCCTGAAATCACAGAAAGGAAATGACTTACATTCTTGGAAAATGAAGCCACTAGCAGCTTTCTCCAATAGCATTTTCTAATCCCCAACCTACACCCTGTGGCAAGAGGGAGTATTTCGTGCAAAAACTACATTTAAATAGATGCTTCTAAGACCAACAATAAACACACATCAGGGGGTCGTTGGGTCCCAGATAAAAAAGAAAGGACTTTCGCTAGGAAAATCCTACAAGAGATATTTTTCTTACACATTCGGAAGTGCAAGAGAGCACAAGCTTGCAATCAAAGCAACCTGAGAACATTTACTGAAGTTTTCCTTCCCCACTGCGGGCACTGCAAGCTCCTGAGGGAAATACTGGCAAAACTGATTCGTTTCATGCGCGCACACACACACACACACACACACACGATACAAAAAGGTAAAAGAGCTACTACTATTTCTTTGGACATTAGCTACCCAACCTCTTGACCTGAGAAATCTGCAAGCTTTCAACTTTAAAATATACTTGTTTTGACAGCTTTCCATCTACTCACGCCTTTCAGAAAGCACCACACCAATAGGTCTCCCTTCCCGAGACTCGAGGTGTGGTTCGATCCTTGGGGACCACCCCTTGGAGGCCCCCAGTTGTCCAAGCCTGACAGCGCCCGCGCCCAAGAGGGTAGCCCAGTGGTCTCCCGGCCGGAGCGCCACTCACGCCTCCCAGGACCCGAAGTCTGCAGGCCGCGCCCACCATTCGCGCGCCTCAGGCCCCCTGCAGGCGCGAGTTAGCCCCAGCGCCACCTCTAGTACCAGAATCGGGCACTTTCGGGGGCATCGCGCGGCGCACGGCAGCTGGCTCCTTTCTGAAGCCGACTGCCCGGTCTCGAAGCGCGTACAACAGGCGGCAGGCAGGGCGTCGCGCCCGGGAACGCGGGGCGCAGGTGCGGGTCCCAGGGACGGTGTGCGAGCGGCGGGAGCCCTCGGAGCACAGCGCGGCGGCGGCACTGGCCTCCCGCCACGCCGCACAGCCGCCCTGGGCCAAGTCCTGCGACCCGCGGCAGCCGACTTGGGCGCCCGGAGCCCGACGCCCCGGGCGAGGGGGAGGAGAAGAAAGGCGCGGAGCTGAGAGCACAGCCTCCGCACGGACTAGCCACTCCACAGACCCTCCCGAAGTCCTTCCCGCCGCCGCCCGGCCGGCAGGGGGCACCGTGGGCGGCGAGGGCGCGGGATCCCGGCGAGGAGGCCCCAGGCGCCGAGCTCCTGCTCGTACCTCGCGAAAATCCCGAGCACCAGCGTCCGACTCCACTCAGCCTCTCGGTCTCTTCCTGCCGGCGCCAAGGCTGCCTGCTGCTCTCAGCCCCCTGGCCCAGGAGCCAAACCAGCGCTCCGCGAAAGCCCCGCCCCTCCCGGCCTTTCTCCCCGCCCCCTGAGGGCCCAGCCCGCCCACGAGTTCCGCCCCTGGCGCCCCGCCCTTGGACCGCCCCCGATCCTCGCCCCGGACCACGAGGATTGGCTACGGCCTCCGAGCCGCCGACGCCCAGCGCCCCGCCCCCCGCCCTGGGCCGCACGTGGAGCGCCTGTCAGCCCCGCCTCGGACCCAACCAAGTGTCCCGCAGCGTGGGGCGGTGGGGGGCAACCGAGGACGGGAGGACGTGGAAGAATCCGCTCCTTCCAGGTCGTAGGGAGGAATTCGGGTCTATGATAGACTTTATGGTGTGGACTGAGATGATGCAGATCTTTTCCCCTACGATAGAGACTGACAAAGTCAGGGGAACACTGTCGAATTCCCCCTTCTGGGTGAGTGGTGCTCTGGGCCACGCGGCCCCCGCTTTTCGTGAAGCTCCCTACCAGGCTGCGTCGCGTGGTTTCCTTCCTTTAGCCCAGTCTTACTGGGCACCCACTGAGGAGAGGCTGCTTGGAGCGGAGGCGGTCCCCGGGTGGGAGGCTTTGTGACTTGTCGCTTCCTGCTGTTCTCTTGCCCCACGTCCCCGCGCCCCCGCGCCCCCGCGCCCCCGCGCCCCCGCAGGTTGGTCGCGGGACGGCGGAGTGGGCACCAGAAGGTGGCGGAGACTCCCAGCCAATTCGGCACCCTGGTTCGCCGGCTACTTGCAGCGTCCTTTGCCTGGCTTTGACAGCTAGGTGAGGAGAGGGGATTTTACCCAACACCTGGGTGACGCCAGCAAGAGCCAGCCTTAATTGCCCTCTTTTTTTTTTTTTTTAAATCAAACATAAGTGTCTGATGCTAGTTTTTATTGGCTGAAAGTGTGGCTGGCTGGATGCTTCGTTTGCATAGCGAGACAAATTCAGTTTTGAGTTCCTTACACCTGAAGCTCATTTGAAATAATTACCTCATTCACAGCTCTGACATTTTGGAGACCGAGACATTATAACTATCAGGAACTATGATCTTTTGTCTTTTTATAATCGGTTATAACTTCGGAACTTCTCATCAAGCTGAACAGTTCCTTGAGACAGTGCTTTTGTAGCTAAAAGTGATGACTCCATTATGGAAAGAAGAGTAAGAAGTATATTTTAACGACTCCCGTTTTGTTTTGAAGATAGGGTCTCACTGTGTAATTTAGGTTGGCCTTGAACTATTTTAAACTGGCCTCGGTGATTATACTGCTTTAGCCTCCTAATTTGCTGCCTTTTAAATTGTATTTAATAAACCAAAATACCGTTTCATTACAATATAGGCATCAACGTGGAAGATTACACTTTTTTCTCATTTGTTTTTTATATGCACTCAGAATGAGTGAGGTCTACTTTAAAATGTAATGAGATAATACAGCATTGCTTTCGTGTGAGAAATATTACTGTCTTGAAAAGCAGTCTCTACATCTGATTTATTTTCAGGTTTCATGCATCAAAATTTAGCAGATTAAAAATAGTATTGTTCAATAGTTAAGCATTGTTACAAAAATGCAATACGAAGCAAAATATTTTAAGTAGCTTTTTTAAAAAATGTGTTTGAGTTTATTGTCTAAAATTAGATTGTACCAAAATTGACTGTGTGACTTCTGGATTATAATGATATTAACAATGAGTATCACAGTAAGCCTAAAACTTAAACTGGACATGGTGTGCAGACCTGTAATCCCAATACTCAAGAGGCTTAGGCAGGAAGATTACAGAAATTTGCTTAGCGAGCAAGAACATGACTCAAAAAAAATTTTTTTTTTCAAACTAAGTACTTTATATTTTTCAAATTGGTTTTGTAAATTGTGTAACTTTCTGACAGTTTGGAAACAAAGCATTCCACTAAGATAGAAAAGGAGATAGGAGAGGTGGTCTTATCACAGGAAATGTAATTCTATACCTATTTCAAAGTTATACTTTTAGATGTGGAAATAGAATTTTATTTTCATCGGTACGAGTTTTCCTAAATATGGGGTATTGCCCACCACCAAAACATCATCCTAAATTAGAATGTTAAGAGCAACATTTTAAATTACTTCTTCCAAGATTTTTAAATGTCAACACAACTTTGTATTTTTGCTTTTCTTAGGAAGACGTTATTTCCTTCAACGGATGTACTGAGTACTTCCATGCAACAGTGGCAGGACTAGACTGAAATTCAAGTATACTGGGATGGTCCAGGAGATTATCCAGTATGCCCTGTGACCAGAGAGGTTTCAAAACTACTGCTACCTGTGTCCCAGGCACGTGAATTAATTGGTCTGGAATATGACATGGGCTTTGGAATGTGTTAAATATCCTCAGATTTTTTTTAGGTGTAAATATATTTGGGGTCAGGGACTAAAGTATCTCAGGTAGAGGTCACAGAATGAGGAGGCACAGGGAGGCATGCCTGGGAAGCAGGATGGTCATGTATCTATCTAATCTTTGTAATGAAAAAAGCTTAAGCATTGGTGGGTGACGTGTGTTTTGCTGTAAAGAAAACAATTATGTAAAAAACAAGATACCGGAACTACTGTAGTTTACTGTTTTTTTACAAGTACTTGCCAGGCATCGGGATAATATATGAGAAGACTAGTTCAGTATACAAGGACAAAAATTATTTTTATCTCTTACATAATTCAAAGTTTTGGGGGATTCAGGTTTTAATGAAAGAGAGAAATGAGTAATTTGAAATACTTGTAAAGAATACTTTTCCAAAATTAAATCCTGTTTATCATTCTGGCTGAAGGTCATAATAAAGAAATTAGGTTTACTTTTCTTCTTGGTAATTACTGAGATCCATTTGAGAAACAAAATAAAATGCATTTTAAACAAGCAAAATAAATTTAATTAAGCCCTACTCTACAGTTTTAATGCCTGTGTTGCTGATAAAAGACAAAATAATCACTCAGAACTTATATAGTGTAGTGCTCTAGTCCTGATTTTTTCACTGCCTAACTCTTAAAACGTCATTATTTTTCAGATAGTATATTAATGTGGCCTGTAAAATAAAAACAACAAAAGAATTTAGTGAGCAAGCCTATCAAAATGGTCTTCAATTATTTAAGGCAATTATCTAGTGATCAGGAGTAGATAACAGAGATACAAATGCAGATGAATTTTCTAACTTTACGATGTACAAAAGTGACCCACATTCAATAGTAACTGGCCTTCAGATTCTGAATTTCGATCTTTTCCTGGGCTAGTAAGAACGGGCTAACACACTCCCTTTTGATGCTGATGCAGCAGTAAACAACCTGCACCCTGTAGCAGGGGTGGCAAACCTATGGCATGTGTGCTGCAGCGGCCACTCACAGCCCCCTCTGTAGCATGGGAGCCAAATGTGTAAGTTGTTTTCCCTAAATGAAAACCTCAGCATTCAGGTTAAATTGCAGTATTGGCCCTTTGCGATAAATAAGTGACTTTTAGGTTGCAATTTGGGTACTCAGTCCCTAAAAGGTTTTCCATCACTGCAGACTAGTGTACTAGATACAGTAATTTACAGGAAATGCTCAGCATTGTAAAATAGCCCTATGTTAGGTGATTTTACCCAACTAAAGGCTAATGTAAGTGAAACTGTTGAAGGTAGATCAGGCTGAGCTTTGGTGCTCAGTAAATTAGGTATATTAAATGCATTTTCAGCTCACGATATTTCCAATTTCAGTGGTTTTGTTGGGTTGTGACCCTGGAGTAAGTAGAGTATTTGTAATTTTTCTGCAGTCACCACAGCACAGGTGGCTAGTATGATAGAACAATCTACCTTAAGAAGATTCACCTGTCCCCAGTTTAGAGCCACAGAATTGAAAAAATTATATTCTGTTCTCTTGTGCATCAACTTTTGAGAAAATATCTGAAAGTGAGATAATTTGACTGTCCAGGGACAACACTGCATTCTCTACAGCATGTCAATGTTGACAGGACACAGCTGAAGAGCTAGTTTGCGTCCATGCTGTATAGTTTTACTTTGATCAGATATCCTGTGGCTCACTAAACTCAAGGACCGTGTATGGGTAAGACTCCCAAGAAAATCTGCTGTCTAGGATTTGGATTATAAAACAAAGTTCTAATGTGCTAGTTACACTAACTGATTGGATGGAAACAAGAAAATATTTGGAGTTACAATAGACCCTTATTTTCTTCTCACCTATAAAAGGAAAATAAAATCTGTACACATTCTTACTTAGCTTGGCTATGGAAACAAATGCCAAAAATTGTGAAGTCCTCTATAGGTAAGGCCATAGTTAGATTTTTCTGTTTGAAGTTTACCCTAATCATTCTCTTAGCCTAAACTGATGTCTTATCCTCTGGTTCTTCAAGGGAAGAACAGAGGTAATTCGACGAGGGTGTCTTGAGATAGCAGTAATAGATTGGGAGATTGTCTGAAAGAAAGAGAGAGATAAGTAAAGAAAAAAAGAGAAAGGAAGAAAAAAAAGAAACAGTTCCTGATGTTTTGTTTTATTAAACATGGAGAGAAAAGATATGAGGCAGTAGCACTCTTAACTAGATCTAGCATTGAAAGTAAGACTTTGGGGGACAGGTTGGGCACTTCTTAAATATGCTCTCCTTGAAAACTTCACTATATATTTGTGACTCATGTAAGTTAGGCCAAATGTTCTACATGATTTCTTGAGCAGAAAAATAGAATTAACAAATAAGTGAATATTTTGCCAATAGTCTATATTGAGTTAATAATTTTTGTCACTTGTGCCCAAATTTCTTAAAGGATAATGGAAATGCATACCTCATGTGTGACAATTTTAAGTATAATACAGCCTTAAAATATAGGGCAGTATAAATTATATAATCACATGTACTTTGCTTTTTCATAGTCCTTCACTGAAGTTAGTGATGACTGTGTCAATTGTTTATCAACTGTCGGTGCTCTTAGAATTTAAGTTTCGTTTGAGCACAAAACTAATCTCTGAATTCTCTGTTCCTACTGTCTGGAACATTATCTCACATATATTTTCTGAATGAATGGATTTCATAAGTTACATGTAAGGAAGGAGTGGTGTACGTTTTCATTTGTGTGCTGAGGGTGGGTTAAAGAGAAGAGAAACAGACTTATATGAGCACGGGAAAGGGTTAGCATTTTTTGAGAAGCTTCTTGGACTGATGTCCCAGGTATTGATGAAGCAGAATCTACTACTTAAGGAGACTTGAGTTGAGAGTGACACTTTTTTTCAAGCGTAGCTCTATGATATAAAGATAAATACAGTGGTGAACTTAATTTGTTCTATAATTATGGAAAAGATGGCCACATATATGTTTGTGTGGGAAAGATGACCTTGGTCACATTTGTCACCCAATACAGAGTTTTCAAACAAAAACCAAATTTTGCCAAATGCTTCTGTTTGCAAACCCATTAAAGCATTTGTGAACCAAGGTACTACTATATTCTATGTTCCTTGATTTTATTTCTCTGCTTTTTACTACTCAGTCCTTTGACATATTAAGAACTCTGTTAAGTGCATTTTAGTAGTGTTTTCTAGTTATTGAACTCCTTGCCAAAAAGCATTTTGATGAGACAGCTTTGGGAACACAGTGACTTGAGTTTGGCAAGCAGAAGAAAGCAGCCCTTCCTCTATTCTCGTGGGTCCCCCATCTCCATGTGAAATTCAGCTGGCTTTTGTGTCAGCAGGAGCTTTGCTACCTCGAACCCTTCTTGGAAACCTCTCTCCACCATGTGCCACCTTTCCACCCTCCGCCTAGACCCTGAGTTCCCAGACCTTCCCAATTCTTTCAGTTTATTACCCACTTGTGCCTTTACTCCTTTGGCTTTCAATTTAATCCCTGGAGTAGTCTTGGGTTCTAATCCTTTTCACTTTCTAATCCTGCTTCCTTAAAAAAAAAATCTCAAAACCTGGGTCAGCACAGTCATCCCTTTTTCAGCATTTTGCTTTAAAGACACTGAGAAGCCTACAGAACATGGAGTAAGTGCACCGACCAGTCAGGCACAGCACCAGGACAGCAGTTCCAGCAGTAGTCCCACAGATGCCAACTGCTTACTCATCCCTCTTTGCCTTGCTTGCTGGATAACACAGTGGCTGTGTAGATGGTTAAGGCTCTCTCCAGGTCGCCTACTCTGCTCATCCTGCCTCTCTCGAGTCAACCTCCCCTTCCTTTTCACTGCTCCCTTCTTTAAGAAGAGGCTTGTACGTATGACCTGGTGGAGTCCTCCCAGCTCTCTGAAAGAGCCCATCATCAGCCTTGGGTTACAGATGCCCCAGGCTGTACAGCAAATGCACAGTGGTGCCCGAGTGTGGACCCAGGGACTCTAAGCTCTGTCCCTGCAGTGTCTGGCTCTCAGTGCAGACTGGGTCAGTTGTTTCTGCATGGAGGGTCAGTCCTCTCCACTTCCAGACTTTGCTTGTCTTTCTTTTGAGACTATGCTCTCCTGACTACTCAGTCTCCTACCAAGGCTGTGTATCCCCAGCTCTCCTAGCTCTTCTGAGTTGTCTCCATCATTTGTTAACCCCTTTACCAGGTAAGTATTAAACTTTTACTTGTTTACTATTTTTGTTTGTTTGAGGCAGAGTATTCTACATAGTCCGGGCTGGCCTTGAACTTGTGATCCTCCTGCTTCGTGAGTGCTGGAATTGCAAGCCTGTGCCACCATATCAAGTTTAGTTTAAACTTTTTAATCTATGGTTGTGGGAAGAAGTAGCTGACTTTATTAAAGCAATTTTAGTATTAGAAGATGGGAGTTATTTGTGATGTAAAGGAATCCTCACACTCATAGCTTGATACTTCTAGTATTGAACAGAGATTGGTTTTTCCCCTGGAGAACATTAGCTATGTCTAGAGGTATTTTTGGTTGATAACTTTATGATGAGAGAAAGTCAGTGCTCTAAGCATTTCATTTAGTGTGTAGAGCCTAAGGATGCTGTTAAACATCCTACAGTGCAGCCCCGACTACGAAGCATTATTGCCCCAGTTTGAGAACCGCTGATGTAGAAGGGAATTTGACTGAAACATTTTAGTCAGGGAGGGTAGAGTCCTTCTGGTGATGCCTTCTGGGCTGTCAAAGATCTGTTACAAAGTCACTAGAGGAGAAGGACCATGTTTTTGGGACCTATGGACTGAGGTATTTGGGCGCAATTTCTTTTTGTTTTTAGACACCAATGAATGTTTGTTGAATAAATGTATACCTGCATAAGAGATAGCTTCTAGAGACTTAGAAATTACATATTTTTTCTGCCTCTATGTTTCCCCTCATTTTACTCAGATCTTTTATCAGCCCCAAGATGCTCGATACACATTTTATGTCTTCTTATGTTGGTCTTCTTTTTTCAGTATATTATGATTTTAAAGGGAAATGGTAACTAGAATAATCATTTTATCTGACAAAATATTTGCTTTTTGCATTGGTAAAACTTCTACCTCTGATTATACAATTTCTAATATGATAGGACACATCTTTGTCAGTAGAGGTAGGAGAGGATTTATCTCAGTCTCTTACATAATAAGCCAAAGAACAAAAGATTTGGAAAGTTTTTCACTTAAGTAATAGCAATAAAGAATGAATTTATTGAACTAAAATTAGTCTCAGAGGTATATTAATAAAAGGAAAACTAAAATTTAAGCAGGACTGAGTGCATATTAGCTCTTATAACATATAGTTATAAATACTTTGCTATATTTTATTATTTTTCAATTAGTATATATTAGTAATACAAACTAATGTGTTTCATTTTGGCATATTCATATATGTATATAGTATACTTTGATGCTAAGTTTTATTTTTAAGTGGCTTGGTAGAAATGTATTTAACAGATTGAACAATGATGTTTTAAGCAAATAATCATGCCAAATATGTAAAATTTGAAACTTTGAAATAGTGATTAGGGTTATCAAAAATATTTGCATAAATTATGTTAATCATATGCATAATGACTGTTGCCTCTTTCTTATTTCTATACTTTCATTGTTCATCATATCACTGGCATTTATTATAAGGAATATGTGTTTTTATTTGAATATATTAACGTTTTATGAGCAAAACCAAAAAATAGCTAGAAAAAGATCATTATAAAATCTATAAAAGATTGGATCATTAATTACCTTTTTCAAATATTGCCTGATTCCCACTTAGACTTATCACATTTCTTTCAGACAGAGGATCCCAAATCTGGCAATGTGTCAGAGCCATTTAAGGACTGGTGACAGGCCTGAGAATCCTAAAATAACAGCAACAAACTCCAAACGATTCTGACACTCATTTATGACCATATGGGAGCTGCCCTGCTGAGGATTATGCTAAAGCAATTTTAGATGCAGAGGCCATATTTTGAAATGTTTAATTTGAAGCCACCAAATGCTTTAGGTCCTGGAACTCTACCAGGAATGGGAATGGGTTATGGTGTGATTAGTAGTCTTTTTATCACAATGAGGACATTGACGTCAGCCACTTCAGTTCAAAGTGGGGAAAGGTTGTCTATTTTTGATTTACTGTGATGTGAAAAGAATAGCTAATAACTGATTATTAATTTGGTTAGAGGTCAGCCAACTGAAGTAAAGCAATAGAAACTCCTATTTTGGTGAGTAACATAATCGCAATTAGTCCCCAGAAATTGTCACATCAATCTAATTGTGTATAAATGAATCAAAGTCTTAATTAACATTTCTATAAATATACTGGAGAGCCGCTCTGAAAACATGGAATATAGACTGAATATAATATACATTGTCCCAATTTCTACCTCCCATTTCATAGTTTTGCTCTTTTGATCTTGCTTAATGAACATCTATATAGTTCATGTACATGGGGATATATTTTGTTCCCACTACACTGACCCATCTGTGATTTTTAAAGATGGCACCTCTAGAGAAATATAAGATGGTATATTTTGTTTAGTGAATGTCAAGTGTAATGGTTGTTTCAGGAATCTGATGCATTTAAAATTATAATGACAGTTGATTATTTCAGGTACTATACTGAGTTTAGGTTTATTATCTCATTAAATCATAACCACGACCTTATAAGATAGGTACTATCATAATTCCTGTTTCACAAATGAGGGAGCCAGGGAAACTCAAAAGTCAACAGTTGAGTTTCTAAACAACGTTTAAACAAGAGAATGGTCCTATTAAAACATGAAAACACCCAGTTTTTATTTTCAAAACTAAATAAAAGGGCTGCCACTTTCTTGGCAGAGGAAGCTATATATAGGGAAGGCGGGAGAAGCATCCAAGATATGTGCCCATTCAAGCTGATTCAAACCCAGATATGTACATGGAACAGGATGGGCTGGAGACAAAATTCTCAGTGCATTTCTGGTGGGTAGAGCTATTAATAAATCATTAGAAAGAATTACGTGAGGTCATTTGGCAAGCAGCAGCCAACAGGGCAGTGCCTGATGACCTGACTTCTACTCCAGCAGCTCAAGTTGGCCTGTGTCTCAAACTGATGAGCCTAAAGGGGGGATGATGAAAGCTCTCAGGTAAGTTGCTACATGCCCCGGCATTCTATTTGCAACTCAGTTTATTTTTTTCTTTCAAGTTTGCAATGACTTCACTTGAACCGTAAAGCATAGTATGAAGGAGAAAGCCTGCCTCTTTAAAGGGGAAATTGGCAATTCGTGCATCTGTCTTTGCCTTTAGTCGCAGAAGTTTTGTAGGTCATTGCAGGGGCCCGTCTGTAAAACCCAGCATGTCACAAGAGCCTACTGTGTCAGCTGTGGCTTCCAGAGCAAGAATGAAAGCAATGCAGAACCACAGGGCCAAGGCTCCCAGTCTGAATGGAGTGGAGGAAAGATGCCGTCTGCCCTGCCTTGGTCTCCAGCCCCACTGCACTCCTAACCCATGGCAAGAATAGGGCAGACTTTCTATGTCTTAAAGAAAACCCATCCCTATGATTCTTAGCATCTCAAAAATAAATGTTCTCAAGTTTCAAGAAAAGACAACTACTAAAACCTTTTGGGAGATTTGGGAAAAGATGAGTCAGATCAGAATGGATCCGAAAACACTTTTAGTTGGATTCCTGAACATGTGAGGACATCAACTTATCTTGTGAGTTTAGTCCTTATGCTTACTTTGTGATTCCTACATAAGGATGAAAGCCCTTCAGTTTTGTGATTTGTCATGCTAACAAATAGGGAAAATTTATTTTCTGTGTCCTCTATTCCTTTTAATTTGCTTTTACATGCCCTGCATTGGACGTGTGAGTGGCAGCAAAGGGTTACTGCTAACTGTACAGTTCAGGGCTGATCCCATGCCATCTGCTTTAGGGCAGTTTTTTCTCAGTCACTATTTCTTTTCTTTCTTTCTTTTTTCTTTTTTTTTTTTTTTTTTTTTTTTTTGGTACTGGGAATTGAACTCATGACTTCACGCTTGCCAGGCAGGTGCTGATGCCTGCTGAGCTAAGTCCCCAGCCCACTCAGTCACTATTTCTAGCCAGTGGTATCACTCCTATTACTATTCAAAAACAGATATGTATAATATGTATTTCTAAAAGGAATTACATGTAACATAGTAACATCCTTCACTTATGAGATATGATCAAAACATACAGTGAATATTTAATCATTCAACAGTTTACCCCGAGTGTCCCTTGAGCAGTGTGTTTGTTTATATATTGAGCATCTCAAGGGATGCCCAGGTAGGTGTCATTTCAACCAGTCTATTTCTGTATCGAATAAGTTGGATAAAATCATCAGTTTTTAAAAACCTTTTTTCAGATATGCAGTTTTATTTCTTTTTATCTACTTATTCACTAGTTTATTTTTTGTACTAGGAATTGAACTCATGGCCTTGTGCTTGCCAGACAAGTGCAAAATTGTCATTTTTATATTTCCTGTTATAAAAATTAACAAAAATACACAATTTTTGGTCATTCTGTATTTAAATAATTGGCCTGGTAAGTAGCTAATTAAAAAATTATTTTAGTAAAAGACACATTGCCATGACTCCCCCTCAGAATATTCCTCCTTATAAAGTTCTTACATCATATGATCAAAAACACGGAGAATACTGCTGTTGGATACCATCCAATAAAAAGTCTCAGAAAAATGTTACTGTGTCCTCATCTGCCTCGATTCCCTAACCTGGCATCATGCAACTTCTGGCTCTTCCCTAAGGTCAAAATGACCAGGAAAAGGTAAACATTTTGAATCAGCTCGGGATATCAAGGCAGCCATACAGCATAACTAAAGACATGCATGAAAAAGGACTTCAGAACTACTTCAGAAAATGGTAAGAATAATAGGGAAGTATGTTTGAAGCAAAGGGGAGTTTTTGAAAGTGATCCATGGCAATATGTCTTTTACTGCAGTACTTTTAAAAAATGTAACATTCACTGTACTTTGATCATGCACCATCTTGCGATAACTAAATCAGTTAATCAGAGTAAGGTCAGATTTCAAAAGATTTTAATGTAATGGCTTTTATTTAAAATGTTTTAATTTTTCTTTTAAATAGGAGTACATACAAATAGAATTTCTAGCTATTTTACTGACAATGAAAATTAATTTTTAATTATGAAGTATAATTACTATTGCAGGGTTTATGAATGTGAGAGACGATGCCAAATGAGTCTGATCTTTGTTTTTCCTCTCCAGCTGCCTCTGACTTTTCCTGCCCAGCTGTGTGAGAATGGGCTCTGTACTGTCCCTGCAGGCCATCAGTCTCTGAGCGGGGACATAATAGACAAGGACTCCATGAGGCACAGGAAATAAGTGTTTTGTGTTATAGAGAACTTCTGGGGTTAAGCCTACATTCTGGTCTTTTCCCTGTGGATTTTATCCTCTCATTGGACCTTCCATAAAATAAACTGCATTTTCTAGTTTTTTTAAATTATTGCATTATCAAGCTCACAAAAGGATGTTAGCCAACACAAGGACTTCCGGAGATATTTCCAACACAAGTCACTCCAAAGGAATGGCTTTTATTATGTTTTTAGCAGGAAAACAATATCTTTCTAGATAAAGAATGTACGCAAAAGCTCAAGGGTAGCTGCTCTCGTACGTGATTACTCAAATGCACTGCAAGTATTTTTACATTCAATTCCTACGTCTCCCTACAAATCTTTCTAATGCAGGAAGGCTTTTTTTTAAATTAATAATCATTTTACCAGGCATGGTGGTGCTATTCTGTAATCCCAGCACTGGAAAGGCTGAGGCAAGCGGATCATTGCAAGTTCAAGAACAGCCTGGGCTACAAAGTGAGCCCAAGGCCAGCCTGAACCACATAGTGAGACCCTGTCTCAAAAGACCAAAAAAAAAAAAAAAAAAAAGTCACTCTTGAAAGATGAAGTAACCAAGGCACAAAGAAGTCCCTTGTCCTGGGTTCTGAAGCCAGATCAAAACGCAGATGATCTGACTGCCCAGAATATGTTCTTACTAGCGACACAATGCTTCCTGATAAAACACATTTAAAACAGTAAAGAAAATGAGTGCATTTAATCTTTTTTCCTAAACATAATTTTTAAAAAAATTAGACAACCAAGAACTTCTACTGATATGCCAAGTAGCTAGATATGTCAGTAGCAAGGCTCTTATTGTGGAGAATGGGCCCAAGATCAGGGCCACGTCAGCTTCCACCTGCTCTGCACTGCTAAAGAAGTAGGAGTTTAGGGCTGGGGGTTTAGCTCAGCGGCTCAAGCACCCGCCTGGTAAGCATAAAGTCTTAAATTTGATTCCTGGAACCAAAAAAAGGGGAGTTTAATGCCAAGCACTGGTTACTAAGCTCTGGGAACAGGGCGATTGGAAAGTATACTCTATATTTTACAGCTGTAAACTTACAGATATTTTAACCTACATATTTAATTGATTTCATTATGCTGACAATTTTCATTTTATAGATAAGTAGAGACTCAGAGAAATCCAGTGACTTTACTGGGCTCCATGTACCTAGCTAGTGGGAAGTCAGGACATAAGCCCGTTCTTTCTGGGTGCATTTGTTTATTTACAGTTAGGTGCTTCCCAGATTCACGAGAGATGGCTTCCCATTTTTTTTTCTACTGTTCTAAAAATATCAAAAACTAACATCCATGTATTTTTGTCAATTTATCTGCTTTTTTTTGCCTTTTAAGTAGATATTGGTAAATGAAAATGTGTTTCAATTTCCCCAGTAGATTTGAATTTCATGAGTTTTACATTTCTCACAAAAGGGGCCAAGTCCAGCAATTTAATTTTCATGAACTAAGAGCTTTGATTAAAGTCTTTACTTTGACAAATAATTGGTTTTGGGAATAGGGGATAGAGATAATTCCACCATAGGATAAGCATTCATTCATTTATTCAAACAGATACGCATTGCATGCCTAATATGCTTCAGACATTGTGTTAGGTACAGGTCATGCAAGCATAATTACAGCATAGTTTTTTCCCTGGAGGAATAATCATTTTCCCTTTCTTCTTTATTAACCAAAATCTGATATATTTATTCTTGCTGTACTTAAATTAGGTTGAAAGTGTGGTAAAGGCACTGTTCTTAGTACACCATATGATTTTAAATGGCAACAGACAAGCACTTTAAAAACTAGTTAAGTTACATATTATTTTAGTGTATGAAAATGTCATATATACAATGTAGTCACACTCATTTCAATGCAGAAAAATCAAAAGAGCTTACAAATGTATATTCAATGGCTGTTATGGCTTAGGTCATGGCTGGTCATTCTGGTGCTCCCCTTTATGCAGACCATGTGAACTTCAGGCAGGGCTCAGGTATATGCTGTGTAAACCTTCTGCTATAACATTTCCAAAGTGGAACAGTAGGGATCTTTGAAAGTACCGATGAAATGAATTAATGTCATGGATTCTATAGGTATAGAATTTTGGTATCAGTGCATTTATTTTAAATAACTTTAAAGTAAAAAATTTTAAAATGTCACTTTTGAAGATAGTCATTTAGTATGTGAAGTACAACACAGAACTATATTATGCTAATCCTGAGCAATTTTATTTTCTGTAAGGAACTGATATCTTGGTACACGTTGGAAATTGATTAGTTACTCTTTGCATTGCTTGCCTTAAGATGTCTTATTTGTAAAACACATCATTGCTTTCCATTTAATTTTATGGCTACCTTCTAATTACGGCAAATGATTAGTGACTTTCTCATTTTTAATTCAAAGATGTGCAGCTGTGTTTGTATTACTAACAGCAAACATCAGAACTAATCAGTAATAAACCATGTTAAACGTACTTGTCTAATGAGATGCCTGATCTTTGAGCTAACATCTGGAGCCTCAGTCTGCACATCTGGGTGTAATAAACGGGCTTTGTGTTACATTCCAAGTATCTTACATGCCTATATCACTGCTCTAAGGGCTCTTGACAACCAAGTACCAGGTTGTGATAGGACAGAGAGAGCCAGCGTCTCAACTTTCTCAACCCAAAACTCTTGGTGGTATGTGGTGTGGAGAGACAGACAGAGACAGAGAGACAAAGAAAGAGAAAGAGAAAGAAGGGGAGAGACAGGGAAGGGAGGCAGAGAGAGAAGGAGAAGACAAAAATAGCAAGTTTCCAACCCCATCTGTAGCCACTTTGATGGGGTAGACTTGGAGCTGATAAATCTGCATCTAAAATTTTTCTTCAGTATGAAAATATTAAAACCCATAGAAAACATTAGAACCTTCACATAGCCTATTATTTTGATAGAATACTTATTAACATTTGCCTTATTCACTTCATGTTTTCAAGATATTTTAAAGCAAATTCTAGGTAACATATGTCATACCAAATGCTTAAGTACAATCTCTTAAAAATTTTATATAACTTAATACCATTATTAAACTTAATGAGAGTGAACAGTAATTCCTTATAATTCAAACTTTCTGTGTACTTAAAACGTCTTCCTATAATTGTTTTGTTGACATTGAGGTCCAAACAAGTTATATTTACATATAGTGAGCATAAAAGGTATTTTGTTCTTTGTTTTTTCCTGAAGACTTTCCCTTTTGCCCAAATCACCGTTAACCAGTACCTCCATCAGCCTGTACTCTAGGCTATCAGATGGCGATTCAGGTAAAGACAGGGTCATTCTTTGGAATATCCCTTGCTCTTCGGTTAGCCAGAACTAGGGCTCCTTGATGCTCTTAGAAAGACAGGATGAAGGTAGGACACAAGGGCTGCCTACATGTGAGGACTTTAGATAGGCAAGAAATTATACTCCCGTAATCTTCTGTGCCATCTTTTTCCAAAATGTTTTATAAAATGTTTCTGAGATTGAGTTTTTCTTTGGGACAAGCTCATAGAACTCTACGCAACCTCTCAGCTTTGGAGATGGTTCCTTTTACTTCCCTCTTCATTGGGACAAAATTCCCACCACTCACAACTTAAGAAAAGAGAAGTTTATTCTGGCTCATATTTTAGTTCATCGCTGGCTGGCTCCAAGGCAGAGGAATGGCATGGCAGGGGCAGGGCAGAAGAAAGCTGCTCCCAGAACAAACGTGGTGGTGGCAGGAAGCAGGGATAGGTGGGGGAGGAGCTGGAGAGGGAGATAAAACCCTTCCAGGGTCGCATCCCCAGGGACATCCTTCAGAGCAGGCTCCTAGCACATGCCAGATACAATGTCCCCTTAATACAGTCACCTTCCAAGAGCCCTGCCTCTGAGTCTAGGAAGCTTTGGGGTGACATCCATATAGGAGCCATAACAGAGGCTCATTCTGCACATTTAATGTAATAAAGACTCTCTCAGTGTCAACAGAACAATTTCCTATCTCCAAACTGACTCGATTATGGTGTTAGGGTCTCCCACCTGATACAGGTTACCTGGGAATATCTTGGAATACACTTTGGGAAGTACATTGATCTACATCACATTATTATTGCTTGTATTAAACAGGCCAGTAAGAATTTGCTCTTGTGAAACACCTTGCCGTCGCTTTTGCTAGTTTTCCCTCTCACTCCTAGATCCTGCGGTGTTAAGTGATACTTTTATTCCCATTAGGAGATAAGAGCTATTAAGTACTGAGACGAGTGAGCCAACCAGCCCTGCTGCCAGAGTCAGGATTTAATTTAAAGCCCTAAAATTTGAAGACTTCATTGTTAAAAATCCAAATACACTGTAATCCCCAATTACCAGAGTTTGGGTTGGTTGTTGTGAAGAGAAACATGAACTTCACAGCGTATCAGTCACCTTCTCATCTATCTCTCTGATCACCAACCTAAGCAACAGCTGCCCTTGACTTGCTTCTGGAAAGAACAGGGGAGCTAATGAAACTAGACACCCTGATGATAAAGCATCACTTTTCCTCCCACCGTGAACTACAAACATTTATGGAAAAATAGGGTGAGCAATATATAAATCCAGTGTTCTAAAAACAGACTAAGGAGACGCCCACTGTGAGATCTGAGACTGCCCTTGCTGAAGTCTTCTCCAAGTGTCCTACAACTTCTCAAGGCCCCTCTCCTCTACGCTGCTCAGAGCCACCACGCAGAGATGCCAGGTGGTGGTGGGTGGCAATGACATCAGAGAAGACTCCTTTTTTCCTGAGGGAAGCAGAGCTATTACTCAAAAAAAAAAAAAAAAAAAAATTAAAAAAGTACCAGTTTAATTCTGGAACTACTGGGTTGTTCTCCTGAGGTGGTAAAAATGTATATTTTCTCTGAACTCACCATGTAAGTACACAGAATGAATAATCTTTTCTTAGGAAAAAAAATAAAAATGCCTTTTCAATAAGCAGGGCTCTTACTCCTCCACATTCCTCCTGAAGATGCCAGTTTGCTTCTCTGTCCCCACCATTGAATTTTGCACCTATGTATGGCACCATGAGGGAAAGTCCTCTACCACAAACCAATCATTGGCCATATACTGGACAATTGTACAATCTCTTGTTATAATTCCTTATTAGCTGATATTTACATTTGCTTGCCATTGAAATTTCACCGATCTTTAAAATTTTTCTCCTTCATTTATTTATTCTCAGCATAGTAAAATAAAACTTGGAAGTTTTACAACTTCCCTAAACTCTCCACATCTGTGCTTCTTCACTTGTGATGAAGATATTATAAAAAATAAACTATCTCAGGAATTATAAGTTTCACAGTACAAGAACTATGAAAATCTTCATTTCAAATCCAGATTATTGATAGTTAACAAGCTTTGGGTTCTTTACCTTTTTTTGCTGTGTATATATAACTTCTCACCCAGTGTCATGGTTTTGGGAAAATAAAAAATCAAACGATGTTAAGCAACATCCTGGGTTCTGAGAGGCTTATTCCTCAGGCACGAGGCTCAATTTGATTGACCAGAGGAGGAACTGCAGCCAGCCAATTGGCTGAGAGAAGATTGTCAGCATCACCCTCCCGCACCTGCCCACATCTGGTACTCGGTTCTTTTTTTTTTTTTTTTTCTCTTGGTTATTCTATCCATTTGACTAAAACAATAAATAGCAACTAAGTAGTCCTTTTCTGCTTGTACAAATATCAAACACCCAGTTTCAAGCCGATATGGGGGGTTTTGTCCACCATAGAATGTTTATGATTGCACGGAATACATGGAATAAAAAGACTGACAATTAGAAGTGTAGGCAGGGATACTGAGCAACTAGCACACTTATATATAGTTGGTGGAAATGTAAACTACTTTTCAATCTTGAAAAACAATTTGGCAGTTTCTTTAAAAAATTGAACTTGTCACCCAGAGAATTGCTCTTAGAAATTACTTAAGAGAAATGAAAACACATAGCCGCACTTAGACACATGTGTGAATGTGTGTAAGAGCACCATTGTTCATAATAGCAAATTGGAAATAATTTACATGTTCACCTATTGGTGCATAGAAATGGAATATTATTCAGCTACTTAAAAGGAGCAAGCTACTGATACATGCAGCATGAATGAACTTCAAATACATTGTGCTAAGTGAAAGAAGATACAAAAGATACATAGGATTCCGCTACATGGAAAATTCATACAAATGCAAAGTATGGTAGTGGTTGCCTGGGACTGAGAATAGGAGAGAAGAATGGCTGTAAAGCAGAAATAACAGTTAATTCAGGGTTGCTGGGGATGTTTTCAAACTGGACTATGGTGATGATTACACAACTCTAAACATTTACCAAAAAGTCATTACATTTAAACTATGTGAATCAAACCTCAAGTTGTTAAAAAGTTTCTTCTTATGTAATTCATAGCCTGATTTTCTCCATATCAAAAGTAGCATTCAGAGGTAGTGGGGCTTCTCATAATTTGGCTATATTCCTAAAAGTGGACACACATCCATTTTTCCACTCAAAGATTCACTATTCAGTGACTCTGCAGGCGATGAGCTCCCGTGTACTAGCTGTTTACTTGGTGAGGCAGAAACAGCGAGAGGAGGGCACCAGGAAGCCAGTTGGGGGCTGGCAGAGCCAGAAGAGAGAGGGCAGGGGTGCAGTGAGCAGCCAGTAGCCCCTTCTGCTCCCCAGCATTAGTACTGGAAATGGCAGGTGCCTACGTTGTCTGCTTTTTTGAGAACCAGCACCCAAAATGCCCATCTGCCACTTCCTGTCTTGGCCCAGCAGCCTCTCTGTGCCTTGTCTTTATTTATTTATTTTTAGTGCCACATCATGATTTTGGACTCTGCTGGGCTATGTTTCTCCACCTCAGGCACCTGCACCCCAGGGCGTCCTGTCTAGCTAATCTTTCTTCTGCTTTAGTCTCTGCACACCACATGTAGGGTCAAGGAAGATCTTGTGTATCTTTGAATCATTATCTTTAGTCATTTAGAAAATGTCTTTCTAGGTCCCATTCACAAGTTTGTACCCAAGAAGCTGAGGTTATTTCTGAGGTTATTTACTTTCAATTTACATTATAGAACACAAATGTGGCTGAGAGTCCTAAAGAGTAGATAGATGGTCTGGGTAGTTTAAGACTTGATACTTTAATAATGCTCCCTTTGAATTTTGTCCAGTCCCAGTATTTTAGAGTAAGATGTCAGAGAGAGAGAGAGAGAGAGAGAGAGAGAGAGAGAGACAGAGAGAGAGAGACAGAGAGAGAGACAGAGAGAGAGAGAGAGAGAGAGAGAGAGAGAGAGAGAGAGACGTCATGCAGATAAATAGGATATACTACCAAGGAATGCAATTGTAAAGATGTGTAGAAATAACCACTTTGTGTGAGTCAACTATACTGCAGATCATCTGGCACACCACACTCATTTAAAAGTGACAACTTACTTTAAACCTGCTTGAAATTAAAAATACACTCACCCATTCACCTGCCAGTTTGAATAATTTGAATTTTGAATTACTATTTTTCCTAGGAGAAGATGATAGTCCTTCCAAATTATAGTTCTATTATCAAGCACTTGTGATGTTCCAGGTAATCTTATTTAATCTTCATAAATACCTTATTAGGTATATACAATAATTATCCTTGTTTTTTGGATGAAAAAAGACAGAAAGAGGTTCTCTGATCAAAGTGATAGTTGATGAGTAGCATGACCAGGATTGAAGTCCAATTCTTTCTGGCGCTAACATGAGTATCTTTAATCACTACACTCTACATATTAAATAGATCTTATAATAATAAATGACTTGCAAAAAAATGGGTACTCTCAGTTTTGCAAATGGGGAGCCATGTGAGGATGAGGGAACAGGGAAATTTTTCGCGTATTTCTGTCCTTAAACTATGTGGGTCTTCTGTTCAGCACTTCACAAATGGCTCGCCTAGTTGTAAGATCCTCTCAAGCAGATGATCCTTCTTATTTAGGGTACTCACCTGTATTCCAGTTATGGATTCTCCAGACAGCCAGAACATTTCAGATTCTTCCTTTGCTGAAAATCACTGTAGTAGCTGAAAATAAAACAATCATTTGTGTTTAGGTTGCCAGGTAATTAGAGATAATTAAGCAGCAGTTTGGTTCAGTTTCCCTTGAATTCAAAGATTTTGGCATCAGTCCTACTATGGAAAAGACAGGAAGGTGTACAGATCAAGAGCGCTATCACATGGTGCATATATGGATATATTTTAAGTAGCTAAAACCAGTCATTTGACTCAGAGTAAATTGTTAAATGTCAGATTCCTTTCAGAGTCACTTGGTTCATTTTAGAACTCTCTACCTAATGTGGTTCAGGCAAGAGAGGCAGGGAAGAATGACAAATGCGGGGAGCAGAATGAGTGAGGTGAGGGCTGTGCCTTGAAACCTCCCCCTGTAAAAGATGTAGTTGGTACTCAGCTCCCTGTGCAGAGTCCCCATTTTGATCTTGATGAGATGGGGGAAAGTCGGACAGGCAACCCTGCAACCTTCCCATCTTCCTGTCACAGTCCTCTGATCATGAGTGCAAATAATCTTACTTAGTAATTTTTATTTTCACTCAATAAGAAATATCTTAAAACACTCTAATCTGTTTTTGCCAACTGATACACAATAGATTAGTTATTCTCCAGGAATAGTCTTCTCTTGTTATATAAACAATAATCAATATTTATTGAGACTATGTAGGAGGCACTGTAGTTGTGATTTATTTCTTATTTCTAGTCCTGAGAAGCTGCCAAGGTAGGTGTTGTTATTCCTGTTTACAGGAAATGAAGAACAAAATAACAACAAAAATTGGGGTGAGAGAGGTTAAAAATTCTGTCAGAGTTGAAATCCATGTGTTTTCTCTCTATTTTGCTATCTTGCTCTCATCAGATCTTGGAGTACCACCAAGGACTGAATGGGTTTTTTGGCTGCTTGAATAAATATTTATCTTACCTATTTAATGCTGAGCATGAATTTAGCATATGACTACTCCAAAAATTAAGACACAGACCTCATTCTTCAGGATCTTATAATGCAGTAAAGAGAAACAGACAATTGAATTAAGTTAGAGAAAGAATGATTCAGACAGTAAGAGCTAGAACAATTTAGAGAAGGGCAGAGTTAACTTGAGGTAAAGCAAATGAGCAAAGCTTCCTCAGTATTGTGGCCTCTGAGGAAGGTGAGTTTGGATGAGCAGTGAATAAAGGGAAGAACACCGTAAAAGATCTCAGAGATGGTATGAGAATTATATTAGTCACATCCCATCCCAGCAACAAAATACCTAACACCCACAACTTAAAGAAAGAAAGGTTTATTTGTCATGCAGTTTTCAGTGGGTTCAGTCTGTGGTCATCAGTGGGTTCGAAGGCAGAAACGGCACAGGGGAAGGGCATGACAGAAGAAAAATGCTCACTCTGTGGTAGCTGACAAGCAGAGTGCAGGAGGAGCTCGGAATAAGAAAACACTTTTCCAGGTCACTTCCATGACTTGCCCCCACCACCCTCTAAGCAGGCCCCATCTTCAAGCACATTAGAGTTTTGGGGGACTTTAAGACTTAAACCATAACAAGCATATTGTACCAAAGAACAATAGTAGGAGTGATAGAGTTTTTGCTTGGATGCTAAAAGATTTGCAGGTTAAAGCAATTCTTTAAAATACGGTATAGCAAATCATGGTGACACTGTAAATTCAGCCCGATCTTCCTTGGGGAGAGTTATCTAGGCACTGTTTCCTGCTATGAATGGAAACGTGTCTATGTTTTAGCCACCATTAAAACATAAAAGTAAAGATGAGGAGAATCCCAGAAGGGTCGTGGGACAACTTCTGGGCTGGAAATATTAGAATTCTGGGTTTTCCTTTCTTTTCTAGTTTCATTTACTCCCTGCAAATGCAACAGTAGAAATTATTAAACATTCTCTGAATTAGTTTCTAAAAGAGAAGAATATATAGCATCCCCTATCTCCTCCACCACCCCTAAACGGCTCTCCGGAATGCCGGGAATAGGGTGTGAGTACTGGGGAGATGGAGCGGGGAGGAGTAAACAGGATGAAGTTGCGATATGTGGACACCAGTTCTCCCTTGATGAGCGTATTTACTATGTAGTAAAAACACATACTAATAAAACACTGAGAAAAAACAAATTGTTTCATCCTCACCATGTGGATTATTGTAAGATACCAAATAAGATACCAAGTGTTTAAAAATACTGACTGTGCACATGCAGGCTCCCTCCAGCTGCCCCACTTGCTTCCCTCCTGGCTCATATTATGCTAGATTCAGAGTAGGTGGTGAAGATACTGTTCTAAAATTATCATAACGTTGCCTCTTTTAGTATAACAGGAATGATCTTCTTGTATACCTGGATTTGCCATTTTCAAGCAATACTACATAACTTTTTATCTTCATTACAATTTTTCTGCTTCCTGGACGGTTTGAAAATTTTCCAATGTGTTTAATTACACGGTTTTAATTTGTATGACCATAGGATAAACCATTATTTCAATGAGTTATAAGAAGACAGGTTTCCCTTCCAGACAGATTTTCCCAATCTCCCTCAGCTCCAATTTGGGCTTAAAAATTCATTTTACTAACTTGTGGAGCATGAAAGATTTGATGCTTATGTTTAGCTGTTTCAGCCCTGCAATTTATAAGGACAAGTGAAAAATATCCCTCCAGGCTTCTGAGGCTGCTCTGAAGCTGCTTTGGAAGATGCGCGGGTCCATTAGCTAAGCAGAGCCTTCCAGAAACTGTTTTATAAGAAGAGCAACACAGTAGATGTATATATTCCACAGTAGGGTCACACACACACTTTCCCTTATAGATCCTTCTCAATTTTAGAAGCAATATTAGAAACCAGCAATGAAAGAGAGAGAAAATTCAGAAATAAAATAGTTCAATTTACCCTTTAATGTATCACTTAGAATTTCCCAGATCTTTGGCATTTTCCTTTATAACAACTTTTGTGTGTTGCACAAAAGGCATTCTCAATAAGAGCTGTAGATTTTAAGTTGGAAAATAGCAGAATTGGATCCATAGGAAATTCTTTGACTCTGTATTTCCAGAGCCACCAATCAATGGTTCTTTCCTTAGAAGTGTTACTTGTCTTTCAGCATTCATCCACTTGTCCCTTTGTCTAATATTTCTTGAATGTCTGATATAAACATAGAAAACACAGTCTTTACACGCAGCCCATGCATTGCTGGTAAAAGACATAAATTCATAAAATGTCATCACCCAGCCCCTGGCGCCACAGTATGATCAGGAAGGAGATGCTAATGGTAATGGGAGGTCTAACAGTGGTTAGAAGTTCTCTCAGGAAACTGTGGTATCTGGGAAAACTGAAGGATAATGAGGAGCCATCCAGGTTGGAAAATGCAGTGAGGCTTTCTAATCGCAGGATGGAACATTCAGAGGCAGAGAAACATGAACAAAATACGTGTGACCTTTGCAAAGTACGCAAGGTGACAGAGCTAGAAGAGGGCTAAGTGATTTGCAGAACAGCAGCCTTCAGAGAGACCGACTGGGAATCTAGTCTACACTACCTTGCCTGCTCGGGTATTCCGTTTTGTGGACCTCACAGGGCCCCATTTTAAAGGTTAAATCCTTGATTGGCAGTCAGGAAATGTGAGTCCCGACTGGCTCAAAATGTGTAACTCACTGAGGCAGAGATTCTGCCTCTGTTTATTCTTTCAGATGTGTCCAGGAGTTCTACCAAGGTCATTTGTGTTTCGTCTTGCTTCGTTTTGTCAATCACCAGGTCTTTTCTCACATTCCAACAATTGAGGCATTGCTTTAATATGTGTATGGAGATCAGTTAATTTTAAAATTTGACCCCTGTTTTTCAACAAGCAGGTATTATTTAATTTCATTATACATTCAAATCTACTGAGGATCTTAAGGTGGCAAATTATAATGCCACAAAAATGAGTCTGTGCCAAGAAAGAATTTGATTGAAGGACTTTTTAGGATGTTGAATACTGAGTGTCATGAATAAGAATAAAGACCCTGGAACCTGAGTTGAGCTTGTCCTGTACGTGTGAGCTGTGGTGTGGTTGGGGATTGCGTCAGACTGAAGGTCTAAGGTCCAGGGTAGCTCTAAAAGGACTTGAAGCTCACACATATTCCAATGGACCATTTTCTCTCATATTCTTCCTATCACCAAGGACTAGCAGTCAGGATTACTGCTAATCTTTTTCCGTCCACTGTGACCAGTCCAGCTCTAACTGGCAGAGTTGCATCTTCCTCTAGAGTAGCTTTCAGCAGTGACTTAACCCAAATTTCATTGATATGAAATATAGCAAAATTAGAAATTACCTAATTTGGGTTGGGTTGATTGATTTCTACTTCTCAGATCACCTGACCTAAACAGGAGCCTTTCTGTAAGATATAGAGCCTCAACCTTACAGAATTTGGTTGGGGGGAGGGACAGAGTAGGGGGATACTCCTTAAAAAAAGAGTTTAAACTACATATGTAACATTAAGTATAAGAAAGAATGATTATTTAGAAAAAGGAACAATCACAACAGGTTACTGAAGGCTTGGGACTGTACGTAGGACCTAATTAGATGTTACCAGAAATACGTATGTAAGAACACTTCCTGATTGTGTGATTATTCTGCACCCACAGTAACCCACAAGTCCCAGCCACTCCCAGGTCCCCCAGGACCCTGCACAAGTGAGGGATCTGAAGCTTATACTCGGCTGGCTTCCCACTTTACCCAGATGTGGTGCTGCTGGTGAAGGCTGCCAGAATAATGGCATGGATTTAAGTCCTGGTTGTACAGAACTGGTTATGCCAGTTAGTCTTAGTGACATTTTAATAATTCTTTTTTTTATCCTAAAAACAGCCCTGCTTTGCTTAATCGACGATATAGTCACCTTATTAATGTTGGTGCCCTCTGCGACCACCCGGCTCGGTGCAGATGGGCAGCCTTCATTTCTAACTCCAGCACTTTCCCTGGCTTTCCTGCTTTCAGTGTGCCCGACTGAATCTCTGTTTCCCAACTGTAAAGTGTGGGAATCATGTTGGCCTACTTACAGTTCTGTTGTAAGT